GAAAGTGCAGTGCCCCTAGTGGTGGAAGTAGTTAAAACCACCCAAAACGGCATTACAGTGCAGTGCAGTGCCCCTAGTGGTGGAAGTAGTTAAAACCGCCCAAAAAGTCAGTGGGGTGGCCACTTTGAATAATAAACAGAGGTGTGATCACATCCACTTCTATCCTCTTTCTTTTGACAAGTTCAGGGAAAATCTTTTTATTCTTCTGCCCTAACCATGTGTTTGATATGAGAGCATGGTATGTAGACAGTGAGATAATCAATCCTCCAATAAAAACACAAAGATGAGAATCCACCGTTTGGTATTTTTATGGGAGGATTGTTTAGCTCACTGTCTACACACCATGCTCTCATATCAAACACATGGTTAGGGCAGAAGACCCACATGTCCTCCTTGTGATTCGTCTGAGTGGTTTGGGTGTGGGTTTGATTCATCTTCAACCAGCTCATTCCTCCTGCTCGCTCGCCAGGCCAGCTTTCAATGTTTAGGGAGGGAAAGTCATTTTCCAACGATCTGTGATGTCACGGCACCTTGTTATCATGCAGGCAGAGGCCGCTGTAATATGCAGCCTGAAGCTAAGCATGCTAAACGAAGACCGGTGTTTGTCGCCAATTTTAAAGCCGTCTTCACTTGGATTTGACAAGATGTTCTAATTTTTCCAGGTGGCATTGCTGGCGGCATCGAGATTTGCATCACCTTCCCCACGGAGTATGTGAAGACCCAATTGCAGCTGGACGAGAAGGCCAACCCTCCCAAATATAGAGGAATAGGTGAGTTTAGAGAGTGTAATGCCAATTGCAAATTCAATTTAAAAAATGTTTGTGTGCAAAACACAGATATCAGTTCAAATGTTATAAGGAGAAGTAGACAGGATAAAAAAAATATACATCTATAAAAGTAAAAGCTCTGCTGCCGCTCGGGAGCTCGTTATCTAATTACATTCCCAGGTGCATTAGTATTCCTGGATGTCTCTGCGAAGGTTTATTTCACTTCAACATGCGCGCACACAAACACGCAGGATCTGTTGACATGCTCCGCATCTTGGGGAACATGCTAATGAGCGCTCCTGAGTCCTGACAGCTGCTGGCTCATCTGCTCACCAGTGCGTTCCTTCGCCGCAGTAGTTTTTCCTTGTCAACTTCCTTAAAACGCTTCATGTGTAGGCTACCCTTTGCTAACAGAGTTGCTGTTAGCTAAACAAACAAACAAAGCGCTTTGTTTGTTGTGAACGCGCTGTGTAAATAAAGATGTATGTACTGCATCATTTGTAGTCTACGAACAACGCTAATTCTCGCTCAATTGATCTCACATTTGAACAAGAAAGTTTGTGAAATCATATTTGTTTATTTTTTATGAATTTTTGTTTCTATTATGAAGCCTGTTTGATTTTCCTTTGTCAACAAATTTTAACAAATCTTTTCGGAGATCAAAGTAAACTTATTAGATGATAATTAATATAATATTAAAATAATGTGTAATCATAATATATTTAGGAATATTTATGAATTAAGGGTTAGGTAAACTACAGGTGGATTTTTTTTCTGAAAGGTCAGTGCTATAAATTACAATGCATGGTAAAATACGTATTGCGCAAAATTTATAGGCTAAACTTCCCCGAAAAAAGAAAATACTGTACTGTGAAAGTAGTCAAGATATATACTTTTAAAATCAGGGTCAAAATTAAAGCCGATTAAATTTTGCTGTTGACCATTGTTAGAAAAATCTCACAGCACACAACCAAACAAAAATTCCACAAAAAGTATACATTATCTACTGAAATAATGATTGGTCCAATTTACTTACAAACGTTCTTCATCAGTGTGAACTCGTTCTGATTTTGAATGGCAACAGTGGATACCTGATTAATTGTACCTTCTGCCACCTAGTGGTAGAGTATGTAATTGTTTTTTTCTGTCACCATATCATACCTAGATTAAAAAAAAGATTCCTTAATTGTAGTAAATAGATCATTTTCAGACCAACTAAGTGAAATTGAATCAAATTGCCCCGTCACACCTGATGATCTCCTTTCTATCGTCTAGGTGACTGCGTAAAGCAGACGGTGCAGAGTCACGGTGTCAAAGGACTCTACAGAGGACTCAGCTCGCTGCTGTATGGCTCCATTCCGAAATCCGCAGTCAGGTAGGCAATAAATCTGAAACACAAGTGGCCTTTTGTAAAAGGGATCAGCCTTTGGAAACAGGATTTCATTAACTCTTCTCAATGATCTGATATGCTTCCCACAAGGTAAACACCGCTTATTACCAACGTCATAAAACTGACATTCATTAACACAAGGAACACATGACAGCATCAGCTTTGCAATTGCATGTTGTGGTTGAAGGTTCAACATCTTTTTAGCGTCATCCCCTTTTTTGACTGCTTGCTGCTGGAAGGCTTGAGTAAAAGAACAGCGCGCGGCTGCCGTCGTCTTACCTTGTAGCGGCAGCTCACGCAATCCAATTATTCTGGCCCATTACCCACCACGCATAGCAGAAATGCCACGCCACTCTCGAGAGTGATGGTGTTGTTGTTCTCTCATAGCAATGGCATTTACCTCCTGTCAAATGCAAAAACACGCACACGTCCGCACACACCCGCACACATACACACTGAATAAAGCCAAGGCAGGGGGTTTACTCTCTTTTTATTTTGCATTGTTTGCATACCTGTGTGTGTGTGTGTGTGTGTGTGTGTGTGTGTGTGTGTGTGTGTGTGTGTGTGTGTGTGTGTGTGTGTTCTGCTGGAAGATAGCGTTCGTCCTTTTGATGGAAAGACAGGTCCAGTCAAGTGGAGCAAAGATGCCACTCAAAGCCAGACAAAGTCTCAGTGGGCCACAGTGTGTGTGTGTGTGTGTGTGTGTGTGTGTGTGTGTGTGTGTGTGTGTGTGTGTGTGTGTGTGTGTGTGGAGGGGTGCGGGGGGCAATTTGTCACTTTGTTTGTATACAGTATGTTCATGGGAACCATGTTGAATTTTAAACCACAGTAGGAACATTTTGACAGAGTGAAGGCATTACCATTGGAACAGTTTAATGTTGTAACCGACAGCCATTGCCCAGCTCATGGAGCCAAACAAACAAGAAAACAAGCTTTTTGTGGACCGAAATATGTTTGCTTTTTGACACCTCAAACTCTCAAACAATATAAACAAGATTGAGGAAGGGCTTTTTATTTGACACCCACTTTTTACTACCAGACACATTTTTGATACCGTACATATTATGCTTACATTGTTAGACTGTGAGGTATCTAAACTTACCCGACTTCCAATGCGTTGGCATTTCTTTAGGACATAATCGATGTGACATGGTGAAATTTACGATCTTATCTTGATTTTCTACTCAAAAGCTGTGCTGATATCAAATGCATGGTGATGCGACGCCGCCATCGACGGGGTTCTCTCGGTCATTGCAGTGGTTTAGAAAACTTCACCTATGGCTGCAAGTGTCTATACAGTGCAGTGTTATTTTTCTTATTAAAAACACATAAAACATTGTTTTTGGGGTGGTCATGAGTGGATTAATGGCATTAGCACTCATTTTAATTGCGAAAGTTGATTTGAAACACAAAGTGATTTGAGTTGCGAACATGATCACAGAACAAATTAACGCGTAAATTAAGGTTGCGCTGTCCGAGAAGCGCTTTAAATGTTGCCGTTGATCCACTACGCTGGCGGGCGTCCTACTTCATGTAATTAGTTTGATGCCAGCATCGTTATCAAGCGAAGACATTAACTCTCTCATTTAATGTCAATATCAATCTGCCTCGTGAGCCGCAATGATAAAAGGCTGATGTCAGGCACTTAGCTAATGTGTACGTATGCTTTCAGATGAGATTGTCGTAGAGAAAAGCACATGAGATCGCTTCGGCTAATTTAGCTCAAAGGAAGATTTTTTGGGAGGTATGATCTTTAAGAAATTGCTCAAAAACAGCAGTGACGTTCGCCTATTATGACTAAGAGTAACACTATTTTATAATTTTTTTTTGGTCTGCTTTTGTATCTCAGTCTCTTTGTTTCATTTAATTGTGTATCTATCCCTTTAGTCATTTTTTAAGTGCTTTTTTTTTTTTACTCCCATCTTCCATCTCATCCACCCTCATTACTTTAGTCTGCGACTCTCCCCATCTCCCACCCACCCCCTTTGTTCTTTATCCCCCCACCCACCCCTTCCCCAATCCCATTAAGTGATTGCATGCACACCATCATGTTCCCCAAAGTCTATTCCTGGGTCATCCAAAATTGGCAGGCCGAGAATGGACGAGAGAGCAGCGGTTCTCTTCATCCCTTCAGCATTTCATTCGTCCCAACACTGACCAAATGTCATACCCAATAGGACAAAATTGTTTCATTGGACAGCCAGCCCCTACATGTTTGGTGAATGCCAGAATTTTATTGCAGCGTCTCGATAGGCAAGACAGTGCACCAGACGTCAGGTTTTTTTTTTCCCCCCACCCGAACCTGAAATTTGAGGGGTGCAATTAGAATATTTAGGGGCACGCACTTTATATTCACTTGCAAAATAAATACTGATCCCACTCATTTTCACCATGTTACTGATAAATCTATCTTTGTGAAGCCATAACATTTTGATCCAGCTCTTGGGTTTCTATTTCTTCAGTTGTGCAGGTATTTCTAAAGTCTTGAGTGTATTTCTCAATTCCGCTCCTTTACTTCATTCCCCTCGCTGAAGCTGACCTTGTCCAAAGACCCTTTAATGAAGGTTGTTCAGCGCTCTGACTCATCTCGGCCTGTCAGCCAGGATACAACGGCACGTTCTTAGCAAGGAAACCTGGACCGCTTACATTGGCAGCGGAGCTTTAGAAGCCACATTGGCAGCCAGACAACAGCTTGACTATCCAATTGAGTGAAAAGTGAAGTGTCACAGGGTTGGCACTCAAGTGCACTGCCGTTTGCTTTTTTTTTTTTTTTTTTTTGGCCAAATGTGGCAAAGAGAGATGAAAGTCGTTACCTCGACTTCTAGGAAGGAGTGAGAGACGACGAGTGCGACAGAAGAGCAGATGTGGAGAGTTAATGAGCAGAGGAAAATCCTGCGATAAACAGGCAGATGGAGTTAGAAAGACACGGTTGGGTATGGGGGACTTGAGGGAGACTTATTAGGATGGCGAGTAAACAAGTTAAGATGAAATGAATGGAAGAAGCCAAACAAGAAAACATCATCAGTCTGTCCTCCCTCGCCGTCCATTTGTTTTTTTTTTTTTTTTTTAATAGATTTACCGGGCAGGGCAGGCAGCATCCTGCTGAAGCAGTCTATAAATAACCCCCTTGTAAAGGACGCGCTGGTACAACAAAGTCTGATTGCGTTGTCATTTAGAGCTCAGCTCCCTCTTTCTCTTTCAACCTGGCCTGGCCTCCACGGCAGCCGTCTCTCATCTCTAATCAACGGTTCATTTTTCAAAAAGGACCATATAGAGATCCCAGCGCTTTCTGCGCTTTAACCCTTTTAGGGACAGCGGTTACGACAGTGGACAGCTTATGTTATCAGGTTCCAGGGTGCATGAAAGGGTTAAGAAGTATGTTGTCTTTTGGGATGGGCTTTAGCCTCGCTTGCATGGAAACGTTTTACGCACTGCTCAGTGCGTAATGGTGGTAACAAATTCCTGCTGTCAGGCTTTTTTACGTTGTATGAACCTCCATTTTGTCTCTACAAGATGATACACATAGTTTTTTTTATATGATTTCTATAATTTGACTAAAACTGGGAGGTGGGGAGTAATGGTCAGTAAATCTCATCTCAACTCATCTTTATTTATAGCGTGCTTTAGGTTGTTAGTTTTAAATTATTTTGTGCATTAAGTTAAATTTAATCTTTAATCCTGCTGAGACTGAGAGATGTATTTACATTTTTAGTACTACGACCATAAGGAAAAGTAAAAACAATATGCTCCCATATTGAAGTTGTAATCTGACAAGAGGAAAATTGGATATTTTCAAGATTAAAAAAAACAACAACAAAAAACTCACATTTTGACATCTCGAACCTTGTAGTTTTTTGCTTTCTTTCAGGCTTGACCTAATACTCATTCTTCTATAAAAAATATTCCCTTCATTAACACTTTTTTTTGGAGCTTGTTGGATCTCATTAAATCATTACTTGAAGCTAATTAGGTGTCTCTGGAGTGTTTTCTACGCCCTTTTAAAATGTTAGTGGACTAATCTGAGAAATCCATTGTGCTCTACATTTGTTTGAGGTCAGGTTTGGAGTATTTGAGTTCCTAAGTAACCAAGCGAGGGACGAGTCGGGTCGACTGGACAGCACTCGAGGTCTGCTGTGTGGGCTCGGAGCCGGTGTGATGGAGGCCATGTTGGTTGTTTGCCCCATGGAAACTATCAAGGTATGTGACAAATTTGGAAAGTGCATTCAATGAAAAAAAACTCAAACGACGTAACCAAATGTGTTAATTTTTATTTTACCAAGGTTAAATTCATCCATGACCAGACTTCAGCAAACCCCAAGTACAGAGGCTTCTACCAGGGGGTCAGAGAGATCGTCAGAGCTCAAGGTACAGGTCTCCTGCTTCCATCAACACGGTTTATGCGCCCTCTACTGGCCGAACGCGGTGCAGTGCAGCTCAACCTCATGCCTCGTCCCACCATGACGATTTTTGACACCTTCTTTTACGCTTCAACAGGTTTAAGAGGGACCTACCAGGGTCTCACCGCAACGGTGCTTAAACAAGGCTCCAACCAGGCCATTCGCTTCTATGTGATGACCTCGCTCAAGAACTGGTACAAAGGTCAGAAAACTTGAGTGCGCATGCTTTGAAAGGGATTTTTAAAAAGTGGCTAGTTTAGCATGAAAATGGCATTTTGCATCGTTTTTTTTTTTTTGCCTCCTTGAACTTTGCTAAATGCACCACCACATCCGAAGGTTGTGACTTGTAATGACTCTGTGTTTCTGGTATTTTCAAACTTAATTTAATGTTAAATGAAACAAATTATCGTCTCTCCAAGCTGCATTTTGAATGTTGTGAGAATGCACTTCCGCCGCCAAAGAGTGACGTTGCTCACGAAGGATATGTCACAGCAAGTAAACACATTGGATCGGGCGGTTTGTTTGGCTAAGCTGCGGGGAAGAGCTTGGTCTCCAGGCCCATTTTCTTTGTGGGTGTGGCTTGCCAGGCTCTAAAAATACATTACAATATATCACACTAATACTAGCAACTCTTTGCTTGGTCTTTATACGTTTTTTTTCTTCCTTTCCTTTCGTTTCATATGATCTATTATCAATTATTGACATGTTGAGTCTTTCTCCCTGATTAGCTCCTCTAGAGTTTTGCCACATGTGATTGTTAAGGGCTTATTGTTTTCTTATGTCCTGTCGCTAGGGGATGATCCCAATAAATCAATCAATCCTGTGGTGACTGGAGCCTTTGGCGCTATCGCCGGAGCAGCAAGCGTGTTTGGAAACACTCCGCTCGATGTCATCAAGACAAGGATGCAGGTACGAAGTTTCGGACTCCCTTTTCTACAGCGATGTTGTTTGTGTGTGTTGCTGGCATTTTGAATAGTTGAGTTGCGTTTCCTTCCAAAGGGCTTAGAAGCGCATAAGTACAAGAGCACACTGGACTGTGCGGTGAAGATTCTGCGACATGAGGGCTTGGCAGCGTGAGTCAGCACTTGCTTTTATTCTTCTTTGTTGGCTTTGGTGGTGGCTATAAAAATGCTATGTTTTTGTGATGTAAAAATTATGAGAGGAATATCAATCATTTCAAAACTTTGTCCACTGTTAATGTGACCGGTATATAACCTGTACCACTCCATTGGAAAAAGCTCCAAAACGCATGTGGGAATATGTGTTACAGCGTGGTCAAACCAACGTGGCAGACAAAACAATCAAATGCTCGTCCACTAGATGGCAGAAGACACATAATCTGCATTCACTTTTTGTGAAGTCTTTTTTTTTTTTTTTTTTTTTTTTTTTTGCGTGGTGCCAGACACTAAATTAGAGACCCCTCGCCCCACCCTAATGTAATTAAAATAATAGGAACACCTCTCAGTAGGATCAAGTGCAGCTCTCCACTTTAAGTTACACCCAAAATATTGTTCATTGAACCACGGCACCTGCTATTTTTTTTTAATATTCTACTTTCGTCTGTGCTCATCAATAGTTTCTATAAGGGGACCGTTCCTCGTCTGGGTCGCGTATGTCTGGATGTGGCCATCGTGTTCATCATCTACGAGGAGGTGGTCAAGGTTCTGAACAGAGTGTGGAAGACGGAGTGAGCCGCAAGACGGCCGCTTCCCTGCTCTTGCTACTTCGGACACACACATCCCACTACGGTTTGCTCTTTTATCATAAATGTTAAGTGCCGAGGTTCAGAATGTTCACGTGATTACAGAAACTCAAAAGAGCCATGTCGGTCCTTTGTCGCCATCCAGTGGACAGTTGGGTATGTGCGGCTCAACATGAAGAATTTATTCAACAACGTAACAATCGTAAAACATGGAGATGTATGTTGTGGAATCAACTGTCATTTTCATACATTTTAATCATATTTCATCTTAAAAATAATACTTGACACTTGCAGTGGTTGTCATTATGCGGCTGCATGCTTTGGGCATTCATTCCGATAAACTACAGTCGCATCCATAAACAAAGCCTTTAATTGAATGATTTTACTATTTAAAGACACGGTTTATTTTTATACATTAATTTTATTCCCATAATGATCATGTAATTGTAAAATATGGAGATGTTTTATCACCGTGTCAGATGGAAAACATGAAAAAGGTTATTAAGATACGGTCTATTTAGAACAGTATTTATTGATTTGAATGTGCTGTATCTGTATGTTAAAAATTTGTTATTGCTGTATTGTCATTGTCTTCGCCCCCAAAATTCCAGTCTGGATTTAAAGGTGTATTAAGATGTTCAAATATATATGTATTCTCTCTGTATATCCAATTGCTGCATTTCAATTTGAACTGACACGCAAATGACCTCCAAGTGCTTTTCACCTTAGTAGGCTGTTGTCTTATGTGTCTTTGGTTTACCTTTTTCCTTTTTTAAGAAAAAAATGATGGTCATGATGAAGGTTTTTTTTCAGTGTTGTGGTTTATGGAAAATGTAGAGGAAATTGTACAAAAGAAGAAAAAAGTAACAATTTGAGTTAAACTTTACATTCAGATCAAATCAGGCATATTTGTGACAAATTCAGCACAAAAAAGAAACGAAATATCTGTGTTAGCTTTTAAGTATATATTTTTTTGTACAAAATCCTTCTAAATTCTCCTGAGAACAGGCTCTTTCTGTGCCATGCCTCATTGAGAGGTTGCTTAAAATGGTTCACTGATGTGCCTTTTGGGTCAATATCGATATGAAGTATCTTTGTGTGTCCTGACAGACTGATATTTTCTGTGACATAACAACCAGCATATTGTCTTTCTTCTACAAGGCTAAAGAGTATTTACACTTTACATGTACCGTAATTCTCATCATATTTGGTTTGTAGCTGGGTGTTGTCAAGCTTAACATGTCCACCCTGTCATTGGGAAATATCACTTGCTGTAAAAACCTGACACAGCGTCGGCTATTTGCCCGTTTCTTAAAAAAACATGTAGTATTTTGTCCAATACGAATTTTTAATTTCCAATAAAATCTACTGAATACAATGCAGTTAAATGAAAACTACCTTTTTTTGGGAGGGGGTGAAATAAGAAAGTCTCAAAGGCACCTCATAGTGATATTGACTCGTTTCTGTACTGTAGCTACTATTGCTGATTTGAATAGTATTCATGTGACATTCCTGGTGAGCATGTTTAAAAAAAAAAGTCTATGTCAAGAAATGACTGAATATTCTTTGTGTTGTTTTTTTTTCTCATACGACCAAAGAAAATGTGTGTACAGTATTCCCTTTGTACCGCAGGTCCATGTGTTCATGTCTTTATTAAGAAGCCTTTGTGCAATAAACATCGTCCTCCTCTTATCTTGGTTCAATTAACATTCATAGTTGTTTAAAAAAAAAAAAGATTTTTCTCGTCGTCCAAAAATATATATATTTACTCGTCTCAATAGTCATATTGCAAAGAAAAAAAATATATAGTTGAATTCCACTTTAAAAGCACTTGTACTGACTTATGTTTAACACCATTGCATTTTGGAGGTGATGTCCGAATAATCCACAGAAGGCAGGTAGCCAAGGATTTGAACAGGGAACTCTTTGTTTCACATTTGGCTGATGTTCATGTCATTTGTTAGCTTTTTCTGGCAAGGTTATGTCATCTCTTGAGGAAAAAATGGGGCAATGTGTGTTATATAAATACACAGTCCGGTAATAGAAATGTAATCGAAACGGTGGCAATGTAGCAAAAGCTTCATTTTGTGTAGCATCAAACACTGGAGCAATTATCTCCCTTTGGCACTCACCCAGTGATGAGAGAGCGCTCCTCTCTGTGCACAACGAGGTTTTATGAGAAGCCTCCATTCAGCCCATCATTATAATCATCACTATCTCCCCTTTGTCATTTTGTTCTCTGATGGTGCAGAGATGTTTAATCCAATAAAATGGGCCAAATCTCTCATGGCTCGCTTTGTGTCGGCATCAAAGCAACGAGCAAGCAAGCTTTGGGAAGCGAATCTTCCATTGATTTGCATGTAAACGCATGGAGTAACTGAAATGTGCTTCACTCACGCAGATTCTTCGGCTTTGATGTGTGTGACTTGCAGTCATATGTTCTTTATCCTCTGACTAGAACGACTGATAGTGCCGTACTGTTGAGCTGGGAGGTATTGAGAAGTTGTCATTGAACAGCATATCCGTTGAGTATTATGGAGTGCCATTTTTTTTGGTGCTAATTATCTCTTTGAGCGCCATTGACATGAAATGCTGTCAAAATGAATTCTAATGAGCGGCATCAACATCAATCACTGTCAACATTTTTATGGGGATAGGCAGAGAAAAGTCTACCAATTCCCACACTATGCACACACTACTAAATACTGCTACTACTAAATACTCTGCAAATGGTATGGACTTGGAAAAAAAACAATTTTCTACTGCTGATTATGAAGAAAGGGAATGAGGTAAAAACATTTTTTGTAACAGAGTCTAATCTTTAATTTGGTAGTTTCTGTGTTTGCATAAAACCAAAATACAATATTCTGTGAGTCTTGATGGATCGGTCAGAATGCTCTAAATTGGCTGGCACTCAAAAACTTCTCTTTTTTTTCATGGTTGGCATTGAAAGAGTTAAACTGCACAATTTTTGTTGTATTTTGAGGAGTGCTGGAACAGATTATAATGCCATTTGCATTCATTATGAAAAAAAGTTTCGTTGTAAGCATCCCGCTACTGATTAGTTAAAACTTCGGG